AGGCCTATATTAGCGCTGGGGAACTAAGTGCCACTAGCCCCATAAGCGCCCGAAATGGAGCGGCTGCAAGTGACGCCTTGTTCAAATGAGCGCCGAAATGTACGTTCACTTTGGCACGGCCAACTGCGCAAAGCATTGCTGCGTCATTTTTTTGGGTTAAGTGAAGCAGGCTTTCTCTGAAGGAGCACCCAAGACTACTTCAGCGGCGCGTGCATGCAAAAGCTGACAACCGGATATTTTCACGCGTGTTTTGCACTAAAGAAAGCGTACTGATTCTCTTCGTTTCTTCTTGCCACTGAAAAGTTGGGGCACTTGCATAAACTCGGCCTTTGGCTGCAATCAGTGCGCGGCCAGGCTATTATGGAATAACGGTGGAAAGTGTGAAAAAATTAGTTTGGAAAAGTACAAGCTAGATTTGCCTCAAATAATTGTAGATGAGCCTATCTTTTCAACGAAAACTAGCATGCTCGAACATATCCCACTGCCTGAGAAATTCAACGAATTTCAACAATTTCATGACCCCGCCATGGTGATCTATAGCGGCTAAGGTACTCGGCTGCTGACCCACACGACGCGGGTTCAAATCCCGGCTGCGGCGGCTGCATTTTCAATGGAGGCGAAAATGCTGTAGGCCCATGTGCTCAGACTTGGGTGCACGTTAAAGAACCGTAGGTGGTCAAAATTACCGGAGCCCTCCTCTACGGTGTCTCTCATAATCATATGGTGGTTTTCGGACGTTAAACGCCATATATCAATCAAATTAACCAATCAAGATTTTCTTGCTTATTCAGAGGTCTATGTTTTAGAAAGTTTGTATTCGAATACTCAAAAAAGCTTCCCTGAATGGTTTATTTTTATTTTTATGTATTAGAGTACAAGTTAATCTGAAATATCGGCACACTATTTACCTGTAACACCACAGCGACACTGAAGTGTAACGTGGTGCGTTTTCTCCCCGGCAGATATATATATATATATATATATATATATATATATATATATATATATATATATATATATATGGTTAAAGGGGCGGAGAAATCAAATGTGTGGCTGGTGCGTTCTTTGTAGCAGTGAATGAAAATATATATTAGAAACGTTTGCCGAGTCTGAGGCAGATGAAACTTATAGAGAAGGCTTTTTATAGCCTTAAAATTTGGTGCCAGCACCCCTCTAATTACTTCTTTCGTTAAAAGTAGTTGTGCAAACGCGTCGCAGCGCTGAAAGTTTATATACCGTAGCTTTTGCGTCCTGAAAGCTTATGGGCAAAATACAGCGCTCTCACAAGCCGGACGAGGCGAAGGTAGAACGACACAACTACTCACTATCAAATGGAGATTCATTAGGATGCACAGATTTTTTAAGTACTTGTGAGAAAGATATTGATTATGCGCAGAGAAACTGGTGAGGAAGCACAACGATGCAAATAGAAAACAATTCCCGCTGAGGAAGCTGCTCAGCCATTACGAAAGACTAAGTCAGCAATAATAAGACCCAATTTGTCATTTTCGTTCACACCGCCATTCGTTCATTCTTACTCAAAACATTTTCATCAACAATCACAATATCTCTCCACATTAGAATTGCACAATTTTAGGAGTGGAACTTGATCAATACCTGAAATTTTATATACGCGCCTCTAACGTCAAAGAGAAAATTGCCTGCGGTTTAGGCGCTCTCATCAAAGCACCATTGTATTTCTCCTTCTCAACGCCCAAGTCACTTTGTTATGCTTTCGTTCATTCTCATCTTCACTACAACATTGAATCATGGGGCAACACGTACGATAGCCACCTTATACGTCATTGAAAGCCATTTGAATCAGAGCCATTCGTCTGACAACAGTTTCGCCTCACTGTGGTATAGCAATCAGTTATTGCATTTCCTTATTATTCAGTGCGTCTATTCACAAATAGTACAACATGGTAATTTTTTCTACAGAATAACATTCTTGCATTCATAATACCGAAGACATCGCTTGTTAATACTAATAATACTAAATTCGCTGGTAAACATAACTTCATCATACCCCTCGTCCACACTAACTACGAGAAGCAGTCGTTACAGTTTTCAGCACTTGCGTTCTGAAATTCTCAACCATCCCCTTTGAAATTGATAGCTGTTCATGTGCCTCGTTCGGAACTGAAAAAGTTTGTTAGATTCATCCAACTCCAGCTTTTTAAGGCTCTGCTCTTTTGCCACACGATATTTTGTTTATTTTTACTTTCTCGCATCTTTGTTTCCTATTTCTATGATCTACATTAGGTGTCTATTCTATTTTGGATATTGTCAGCATTTCATCATCTTTTGCACTGAATTTTTGTTTCAACTTTTCAATATGTCTCAGCCCTACTCATTTTACTCTTATTGACTTAGCCACATTCTTTTACTTTTTCAAGTCTTTTTGTTAATACGCTTAGATTTGTTCTTTGCTTGAATCAAATTAGCTTTTGTCCTTACGAAGTGTCCTTAATGACGTTTCAAGTAAATTATTCACCATGTTATCATGCACCGGAGGTCCCGTTTCACTGATTTTGGGACCTTCTTCTGTCTATTTGAACGATGTACTTCGTCGATTGTTTGATGTGAAATAAATAATTCTGATTAGCTTTCTTTTCATGCAAGAAAACCGGTGCTTGGCTGACGAATGACTCTGCTTTCTTTAATACAAAAGTCTTCCCGAGTTGTCTGATCACTGTGTGTGAGGAGCACTGTCGTATCACTGAACAGGGGCATGCGCTCACTAGGGTGGCAGTGCGAAGGCAGATCAGCATAGGTGCAGTTTTTCATGGCTCCAGAGTGTTCTTTTAGCAGTACGTAGAGACAGTGTCTAGTTTGCCCTGTGTACATTTTTAGTACAGAATAAGGCTGTTTTCTATGCTACCCCTAGTAGAAGGCACTGAAGCGTCGCTGTGCGTCGCACAACATTTATGTAGGCTAGACCTTCCTTTCCCTTGCTTTTTGTTCATCAATACAAAAAACATTCTTTTTTTTGTCGAAAGCATCACCAAAAAAAGCCCTACTGTCAGTCTCGCTCTTAAAATGATTTTGCCCCTATTGAAACAGAAGTCCAGAGGATCAAGATGTGCTAGGTTAGGGAAACTAATAACATAACATAGTGTTGGCTAGAGGAATGCATACTAAAAGAAGTGGCATTCAATAAAATCAAAAAAGCAACTTGGTTTCTGGTTCCTAAAACATTTCAGAATACAAGATTTCAACATGACGTCTCTTTTTTAAGGCTGTGTAGACTCACTTCAGTGCTGCGTAGACTTGAAAGGGCACACACTGACTTTGATTGGACTTCAGCGTGACCTAAAGCTTTGCGTTGTCCTTCTCGCGTCATGGAAGTTACATGCTACTTTAGCTTGTGTACATGCGTATGAACGAATTTGCCTTCACCTTCGACCATGCAGCCTCTGTTAGCTCCTGTCAAAAGCGCTGGAATGGTAGGCACCAGAGTGCATGCGTGCCGCATCCAAATCATATATGCCGAAAATTCTCAGCCCAGTCAACCGACAACCGCTATGTGTTTCAGTGAGGAGCGCTGTCATCCACGTATGCGACGTGCTTAAAGGCGACGCACTAGCTTAGGCAGGCGCTAAAACAAAGCAGATTTTATTGGTTGTAATCGCAAGTAGCTCGAGCCAAGGATAAAGAAAAAAAAAAAAAGAGACGAAAGTGAAGTTTCATCTCAGTGCCAACGCTTGCTCTAAACATATGTCGTATGGTGGCACCCGTCAGTGCGAGGTGCAAAATTTTGTTCTGAAGTTTCAATAAACATATATATATATATATGTACTTCAATCAGAAATGCTTCACTCGTCATCACGCTTAGTTTTGTCTTGGTATACCTGACAGCTATAAACCAAGGAAGGGTTATGTGCATGCGCAATTACAAAATTTTAATAGACATTATTATTATTATTATTATTATTATTATTATTATTATTATTATTACAGGGACATACAGCCACGGCCACGTCTGTGTGTGGCGGCCTGCCTTGCTCTGCGTCGCGACACCTTGCGGCCGTTGCGGGTTGTGGCGTCACGTGCTTACAAACCTGCAGGCCTCCTCTGCACGGGCGACATTGTTGGAAGGTATGGTTGCTTAGGAGAAGATCCGCGCTCACTGGGGGCACTTTCGTCACACATCTATTTCATAAGACGAAGCGCGTTTCGACTCATAAAACGCTCCTGCATCAACTATGCACGCTTTGTCGCTGTTTTGAGGATTGCAAACATATCAAGATATGATAATTCCAACAGCTGCGCGAAAAGAAAAAAAAATATTGTAGACAGACACAAAATCGAAACGGCCACAAAGAGTGTGCCGTTTATGCAACCGTGTGTGATATGTCGAACTGCGATTTGTTTTATGAAATACATATGACGAAAGCGCCCTAAGTGAGCGCGGATGTTCGGTTAAACAAGCATACCTGCCAACTTTGTCACCCATGCAGGACAGTTCTGCATGTTTGTAAGGCCACGCATGCCTCTGTGCGCGCGACGTCGCAAACCTCAACAGCCGCAAGGTGTCGTGCCTCATAGCAAGACCGGTTGCTTACGTAATATGAGCAGATGTAGCCGCAGCTGTACACCCAAAATTAACAAACCAGCATTTATCATTTCACCTTCATTGAAATGCGCCTAAGATAAGCTTGACAAACCCACCCAGGAATTCGCAAATAAAAAATAGTGTATGTTATCTACACTTCACCCTCCGCATGGCAAATATTGCAAAGAAACAAATTTCAGTCTCATGGGTGGTTCTCTGAAAATGTCAGATATCTTAATTTGGGTCGGAAGCTCTCGAACACCAGCGAGAATATGTCGTACATTACGCTAGTACATAATGTTAGATCGTCGCGAACAAGTATTGAGCAGCTCTTTTGCAAGTTCTAGCAGCCCCAAATTCTGAAGAAGGAAAACGCCCCCTTCTTCAGAATATGGGACAAAGAAAACGCAATACGAGATGATGCTGGCCACACGTCTCTGACCTTAGGTTCGGATGCAGCGGTGGCAGGGTCCTGCAGCGTGGCCAGTGCCGAGGTCGTCGACTGAGTGGTAGACGCTCCCCCCGGCGAAGGTGGACCGTTTTGCTCGGCCGGCGGCGGCGACTCCTTGGGTGAGCCTTCAATCGAGGGCCTTGGCGACTGTTTGGGCGACGGCCCCAGCGACGTGGGCGCCGACAAACCCGGTGGCTGGGGCGACAGCGACGCCCTCCGCTGTACGGGCAGCGGTGCCGAGCCGCGACGGCCGCCGCCCGGCCTGCCAGCAGTGGGCCCCGTCATGGCGCACCCCGCGCCTTCAATGGCCACGCTGCGCGCTCTGCGAAAAAGAGCGGGATGATAAGCAGTGGGCTATCGCGGAAATGTCCCAAAAAATACAGGTACACGTGTACGCAAAACATTGCTTAAGTACCACGCGACCATTTTAACTGGAACAACTACTTGTTTGGCACATAAATGCAAGCTTACTTTCTTGACCTTTACAACCCGTTTTTCGAAAACCGTTACGCAAGATAAAATGCCTCAACAAGGCCTGCATATCATCTTCATGCAGTTAAATAAATGTTCAAGTGTGGATAGTGAGTAACAAACAATGCACCACGAAAAATATCATGTCAGATGAGAGGAACAGTCTGTATCACGGTTGATAAAGATAATCGCGTCATTTTTGAGAGCTCGAAGCAAGCGTAAATGTCGCGCATACCAAGGACATCGACACACGTGCTGTATGAAACCTTGGCTAAACATGCTCGCTCTCCTATCTGCAATAAAGCGCAATAAATAAAGCAAGACTACTTTTCATCAGCTGACACTTAGCTGCGTTGCTTTCATTGCCTGAAGACAGCCGGCATCGCACATGAGCACCAACTAGGGCTCTTTAATGTACTCTTCTAGTACATGGTAGAGACGCTGCCTTTGCGTGTGCCATTTGGTTCAAACACTTCCCTCTTCGCTGGCATTCTCTGGCATATGTCGATAGATCTCTTTCAGAGAAATGCACGGTAATTTGGCTCAGTTTATCACTCCTGACAATAGGACTTGAACATACAATGTTAGTAACGACTAACACAAATTGCTGAAACACAAATTGCTGACACTAGTTAACAGAAGCGAAATATTTAATCGCGAAGCAAAGGTATTTTGAACGTATTTTTTGGTCTATTCTTCGAAATGGCCGCGTGGGTCTTAACGCTCTCATAGCCTAGTGATCACTTTGATGCATATAAAAATTGGCATAGCATGACAAAAATATGACGAGCGTAAATGACTGGTCATTGCGTACGAACCTTCCCCTGTATGTCACGCACGCCATGACATATATGACCTTGCCGTAGAGCTCTGAGGCAGTTTGATTGACTTGATGTATACCAAGTTTCGTACGACATGATAAATGAGTGGTTTCAACATGAACAATATATTATGCATGGCATGTAGGTCATGGCAGACATGATCGAATCGTAGAGGCTTAACAGCCTTTTTAGTAACTTGATGTGTAACAAAACAGATATGATATGAGAGCTTATGACTAACATGAATGACCAGTAATAACAACAAAACGATGTGATGCATATCTTGTACGCCATCAAATACATGACGAGGCCATGGAGCTCTAGCGGTAGTTTTATTACTACATGTATACTAAGATCAACGAGCTATAAGAGCGCATGTCATGTAGGTGATGACACATATAACCCAATTTTGATTTGCTTTATCTAACTTGATGCAAATTGATGGAATGAACACGTCATTCAAAGTTCAAACAGCAAGCTATTTATATCTACCACTTACGGCGGGTGATGGGCACCTCGGGTAAAACTATTGTATTTTCAACAATTCTAGCAAAATGACGCAATGAGCGCGCGCTTCACCACATCGTGACGACACGGTGGCGTGTGCTCTCATCTCCCACGCGTACTTTGCCCCACAGACAAAAGAAAGGTGGACGTGGAGTTACTCTATATGCTACCTTTAGGTAGCAGAGTTGTGCTATGGTATGCCATCTTGGGTTCAAATGTCTTGTGGGAATTCCACTCACTACCCGCGCAGGAGCAGCACTCGCGGTTCAAAGTACTAGAGTTAATGTATTGACTTTTTCGCTTTTTTTATATTTAATGAAGGTGCGAGCAAAACTCGGTTGCTCCAGTCACGCCTTGAAGCCTTGATTTTATGTTTATGTTCTTGGTATGTAATACTTGATTTTATGTTTACGTTCTTGTATGTAATAATGAAGCAAAGAGCGTCGGCTCATTGAACTAGTGAGATATATACTTATAGTTCGTCATACATAACCCTTGTCTTCTTTTGCGCTGTTTTTACCATTTACATATAAGAAATTATTTTCGCACTTTCGATCGTGATACAGCCAGTTAGGAATGGAATTTTTTCGTCGCATTGAAATCATTCGTGAACTCTGCGTGGAAGCAAGCTACAGTTTTTTTGTATTCAACTGAGTCAACTTGGATAGCGATCAAAAGTGGCCGTGCGACGCCCACGTTACGCGCGGCTCTCGTATTACGCTCGTATTACAATCGTGGCTCATGACAGTTGACGTGAATCGTTGTTGGACAGCTTTGTCACCTCCAACGTTTTCTTCGCTTAAGGTCTGAAAGCCGCAAGAAATTCACGCGCTAGCAGCAACAACTTGATGAATTGAATAGTAAAGTTTTTCTCTATTTATTTATTTTATGCATTTTACCCGTATGCAGCCGACACACGCTGAAAAATTCTGCATTTATAACGTTTTCACTACTGCATCTGTGGGCAATATAAATAGAGCTAGTTTTGCAGTGCCGTGTATAGATAAAACGAAGCCATGCACCACAGGAGTGTGCAAAAGAGGCACACGCCCTCCTCAAGCCACAACAGCACTGTCCCTCCCCCATGCTATGACAGTGCTCTTGCTCTCTCTAAGCCGCGATGCAACAATGGTTCGCACACCCCTAGAGAAAATCCTACCGACGACCATGGTCAAGCGTTTATTCCTTCCTCACTGAAACTAACAACAGCTACAACAACGTCTAATCACGTGGGCTGTACGTAGTACAATTATATACAGAACGAACTTGCTACCACGATTCTCGTGATCAACAGGGGCTGCAGTACCGAAGAAGCGTGGTGAGAATAACAACAGCTGATGTCAACCAGGCTTGACCTGCCCGGAATCTACGACCCATCCACTTCGCCTGCGTAGTGTTGGCTTCTCCGCAGTGCAAATGAACCACCTATGAACACGCGATGGCGCTCGGCGGATAAAGGCACTGAACTCTTGCAGGCGGAGCAACTGGCGCCTGAGAAACAGTGACGCAACTCATACACTTTTTTGAATAACCGTAGAATTGATTCTCTGCAAAAGCATATTGCCTCACAAATTCAACGCCGCAAAAATTTTAAGAATCCGTTGAGTATGACCGGAGTTACAACTATTTGTCACACGCTGCAACTGCATTCTCTCTTCTCTCGTCCAGACGAAAGCGCAGGAAGTTAAGCAGAGAGGGATGGGAGGGGCAAAAAAAAAAAAAAAACCGTCGAGCTTGCTTCGAGACCTTGAGCACTTTTTTTTTCTTTTTTTTTCATTGAATACCCGGCTTTTTCAGTGTAATCGCACGCGCACGCGTGGAAAAGTGATGGCCTCGCGCGGCATTTCTGTAACAACCAAGTGCACCTTGTTCAAATCAGCCAATGGCTCATATATGGGTCGTCTACGTTTGATTTTTCGGCATACTCCGTGATTTGTCGATAGAAGAGAAAGCAATATTTAGCTGACTTTGATAATTTATTGTGAATTACAGACTGAGTCCTGGGCTATAAAACTTGGCTCGCGTGTTCTCGGAAGTCTCTACTAACGATCGGCAGTGTTTTATGACCATGCTCAAAAAGTTTCGCAGGGCACCTGAAGATAGCATATACAGTAACTCTGGGTACACGCTCACTCGCACGCCCTCACTTTGCCGTGAGGATCGAGGATCATACGTCTTGGCTGGCCTTGGGTATTCACTGGAATGATTCAGTTGTAGTTACCGGGCGCACAAAGATCAATGCAATCGTTTCACAGTCTCTGTTTGCGAAAAGGGCGTGCTTTCAGACACAGCGAAGTAACAACTGAGACGCTTATTCGCGTTCATTTGCACCTGTGAGCACGTTTCATGCGTCATTTGTGCGTGAGAAACGTGGGGCAAATTTTGATCTGCTTGCCATTCAGCACGTGACGTTCCAGTTTGTTTTTATCGCGTTCATTGCTCCGTATTTGCGGCAAAGCTGACACTTTTATTTATAAGAAAATACAGTTTCCGGCAAGGGCAAAAAAATGAATGCAATAGTAGCAAATTGTAAAGTTAGGCGTAGTACGCCTGGCAGATAACTCTTTTGGTTCCAATAATGCGTAACTCTGCAAAACGCTGGTGTAAAAAATACGGTTGCTCCAGGGAGAGATACTCTTATCTCACAGTCTCTTAGCATTGAGAGCTCAGCACGAAGAGGGTTATTAAAGCTGTCCGCTGATTTATGCCGAGATAGCACTCGCGCCTCGCCTCGGAATAAAAATTCGCAGCACCGTTCGAGCAACCACGTGATCCCCCAAGCTCTCACCCCTTTTGGGTCTCTTCATTCTCGTGCAAGTTGGGCGGTGCTTTTCTTCTCAGCTTGAGCGTTCGATGGAATGTTTACCACGTAGGTGGATGTTATCCCAAGCGCCATCCCAGCTACAAAAGTGCGCCGGCTCATTAGGTCTCTGCTTCCGCAGTAAGCGTCACCCCCTCCCCCTCGTGCGCGTTTAGATGTGGGTAAATATACGATGCGCGCGAGATGTTTCACTTTGTACTTTATTCGGAATACGTCGATGAGGCTTATGGCAACAAATCGTCTAGAGTGTCAGAATAGAAAGCCACAGCCTTGCCGCAAGGGCGAAGCAATGAACGCGATAGCAACAAACCCGAAGGTCACGCGCAGAATGGCAAGCAGATCGAAACATGCCCCGCGTTTCTCACGCACAAATGACGCACGAAACGCACTTACAGGTACAGATGAACGCGAATAAGCGTCTCAGTTGTTACTTCGCCGTGTCTGAAAAGCACGCTCTGCTACCTCTGATAACTCTGGCGTATTTCTGTGGCAAGTTAAGTCTGTTGATCAGTTTTCGTTGCTCCCTTGGAGGGGATGGATGTAGACCAACCCGGGCGCCAGCCAGCACCAGCGGCGTCAGCGGCGGCCGCCTC